ATGACCAGAGAAATGTTAATTAATATAACTGAAGAGGAGAACAGAGATGATGGTGGACAGACAGGATCCTTGAGTGATCCACGGGCATGGTAGATTGGCATCTGGAGGGAGCATCCACATCTGGAGCAGAATCAGGAGAGTGAAGACAACTGTCTCTTCAGGAAGAAGAGACAGAGTCCATCGAAAAGGGTAGGACAGACTAAGACACAGTGTGTCAGGAATGGTGCCTGGACACTGGGAGTGATACTCTTTCCCCTTCAGATCTCCAGAGCTTTCCAGGGGTTATCCAGCCCCAGGCCACAGAGTACAATCTCATCCTCCAGTCTGCTAAACAAAATGCACCCTGGTGGCCTGCGACTGCTTGGAACAATAGGGAGAAGCACTGGACTATCCTATGAATAATTTCTGGGCTTCCAGTTCCAAGATTGTGCAGCCAGAGAGTGCCTACAGAATAATGGGGTACCAGGATATCTGTGCCTGGTGTGGTAAGTCAGGAGAGGTGACTGCCTATGCCCAAGATAATCCCTATTGCTTCCCTGCTATAGCCAGCAGCAGGTCTCCCAGGGAAACGGCAGCCTTCGGCAAGGGGCCCCCGACTGACTTTGATGAACAGGAGAAGCTCCCAATTCTTCCCTCTTTGCATTCCCTGGACTGGCTCCATGCTCTTCCCACCAAACCTGTAGAATCCAGGCTATAACCAAGGGGTAGTTGCAGGTTGGGGCTTCAAGGCGAATGCCATTGGGGAAGTCTGCCTTGACATGCTTTAACCAAATAGTGATTGCAGATAACTCTCTCTCCTCAAATGGTTAAAGCATATGCCCCTACTAATCTTTAGCAACCTCCACACACCTGTATCCCTAGTATGTATAATGAAGTTTGAATGAACACTTGGATACCCACCCAGAGCCGACTCTGTGCATCATTCTGAATGAAGACATAGATTCAACCAACAAAACAACAGAAAATATGGCATCCAAGGCCAACACCCTAGCACATACCCTGGGTCCATAATTCTAATTAATGACAGATTTATTTATTTATTTGTTTGTTAGTTAGCTTGTTTGTTCACTTATGTGTGTAGAAGAACTGGGTGTAGGCCAGAGGTGCAGGGATGAGAGGATTCTCCCGAGGCAGAATGGGCAGCAGAACAGGCGGATCTACTGAAATACACTACTAAGGAGAGCAGCAGGTGAGACAGGAGAGGTCAGCTGTGCCATATGTGGGTTAGCTCCCTGGCCAGGGATAGAACTCAGGGCACAGTGTTGAACACACTGAGACTTAACTCCTAGGCCAATAGAGAGGCCCTCATGACAGTTATAATAGGACTAGGAAGGAAAACAATCTAACTTATTTCATAGAAATAATCAGAGCACCAAATAGAATGAGGAAATAGAATCATTCACTCCAATATCTGGATCACGACAATACCCTGATATCTACCTCTGTGGATTTAACCAAACTTCCAGAAGAATAAAGAGCAAAATATCTGAGTGATGCCTACTGAAATTAAGAAAACAATGAAATGAACAAAATAATAAATACAACAGTGACAGAGAAAGTATGAAAAAAGCACTAAACAAATCATAGATAGAAAGAATGCTGTAGTTGAAATAAAAATTACAGTAACAGATCCAATGACACTGAGGAAAGAATTAGTGAGACAGAAGACAGGATCATCCAAAAAGACCAACAAAAAAAAGAGAAAAGAGGAAGAAAAATGAAAGCATCCTAAGAGACCTATGAAACAGAATCAGAAGAAACAATATTCACATCATATGGATTCCAGAAGGAGAGGAGATAAAAAGTGCAGAAATCCTACTTGAAGAAATAAAAGCTGAAAACTTCCCTAAACTGGGGAAGGTAACAGAGTTCCAGAGTTCCATAAATGGAAAATGCACTATATATCTGTATATCTGTATATCTATATCTATATTTATAATCTTAAAAGCAGGTAGAGAAAAGCAAAGAATCACATATAAGAGATATAAGGGGATCCCCATAGGATCATCAGTGGGTTTTCTCAGTAGATAGCTTACAGTCAAGGAGGACGAACATGAAATATTCAAAGCCCTGAACAAAAAACCCTCAAACCAAGAATCCTCTACCCAAGTAGTCTACACTCAGGATTGAATAAAGAGTTTTAAGGTCAAACAACAGTTGAAGGAATTTATCCCGTTTAAACAGGCTTTGTAAGAAATATTAAAGGGTCTGTTATAAAATGAAAAGAAACCTCATATAAAAGCAATGTCTTCAAAAACAGTGAATAGAAAAAAGAGGAGAATAAAATATGATCTAGCAGAATAAACCAAAGATTAATTTGCTTTCAATTTTAGACAGATTTTAAATATATAAAACTATACATAAGCCACATGGAAAACTTAGGTTAAAAAACACCTAGAGAAAAACAGGATAAAATGGATTGCAAATACAAAATAAAGGTAGTTTTAAAATACAATGGAAGAGGACAAAAGAACAGGGAAAAACAGTGAAAACAGTCAGACAATAAATAGTAAAATGACAATTAATATTTTCATATTGATAATATCCCTAAATGTCAAAGGCCTCAACTCATCAACTAATAGACAGCGAGTGGCTAGTTGAATCAGCAAATATCCAACCTTCTGAGGCCTCCCTGGTGGTGCAAGGGGTTAAGCACAGCACTGTGAAGCTATCCGCAGCCTCTACAGCACAAGTTCAATCCCAGGCCGGCCAGGGAGCTACCCACATGATGCAGCAGACCTCTCCTGGCTTGCCTGCTCCTCCACTCAGCAGTGTATATCAGTTAGTCTGCCTGTTCTGTTCCCCACTCTGTCTCTGGTGAATCCTCTCACCCCCGCACCTCTGGCATATACCCTGGTTTTTGTATGCATAAATAAATAAATCTTTAAAAAAATATATCCAACATTCCACTGTCTCCAGGAGACTTATCTGAGGTCCAAAAATAAATGTAGGCTCAAAGTAAAAGGTTAGAAAATAAACCCCAAAGCAAGTGGCACCTAAAAAAGTTAGTAATAGCCATATTTACATTTACATATTTACATATTTACATTAAAATTGATTTCCAGCTAATAATGGTAAGGGATGGACATTATGTAAATGATAAAGGTAAATGATAAATGATAATGGACATTATGTAAATGATAAAGGTCTCAGTTCATCAGGAAGACATATTCTCATCAACATACATGCTCCAAACAAAGGAAAGCCACAATAAATAAGTCAACTACTAGGAAACCTAAAAATAGACATTAACAGCAATACAGAGTACTGGGAACTTCAAATCCCCATTACAACAATGAACATATCAGTCACATGGAAAATTAACAAAGAAACAACAGCTTTAAATGATAAATTAGACAGATGAACTCAATAGACATTCAAAGGGTACTCCACCCCCAAAAGCTGAGTGCATCTTTTTTTCAAGTGCACATGTAACATACTTTACCCAAGATCACATGTGGGGTTGCAGAACAAGTGTCAATAAGTTCATGAAGATTAAAATCATTTCAAGTATCTTCTTTGACCACAATGGCATGAAAAGAGAAATCAACCACAGAAAGAATACAAAGCTCAAATATGTGGAGACTAAACAACATGTCGCTGAATGTTATGTTAACAATAAAATCAAAGGAAAAATTAAAACAGGGGGAGACAAATGACAATAAAAACACAGTTATTAGAACCTATGGGATACAACAAAGGCAGTGCTAAGAGGGAAGTTTATAGTAATATAAGTCCATGTCAAGAAATAAGAAAGAGATCAAATAAATAACTTATCTTTACATCTCACGACTCTAGAAAAAGAAAACCAAAAGTCACTAGGTGACTTTTAATAAAGTAAATAATAAGTTAGAAGAAATAAATGAAATTGAAATTAAAAACAGTTCAAATAACTATGAAAACAAAAGCATGGAAAACAAAAAGAATAGAAACCAGTAATTTTAAGGGATATGTTTTTTCCTATGTTCATTGCAGCAGTGTTTTCAATAGGCAAGTTATGGAAACACCATAAGTGGCCAACAACAGATGCTGTTTGAGGAGATACATATATCCACACACAAGGGAATACTACTCAACTATCACAAAATACAAAATCCATTTATAACTATATAGATGGAATTGGAGGGGCTTGTGTTCAGTGAGATAAATCAAAAACCAAGATAAATACTGGATGATATCACTCATTTGTAGAATAAAGGAACAAAGTAAAGGAATAGAAAAAGTAAACTAAAATGTACCCTAGAAATCTGGCTATACAACAGAAGCTAACAAAGGGGTAGGTGTGAGGTAAGGAGAAAGTGAGAAGGGGACCCAAAGAAATATGGTAGAAGATTATCAGTGATGAGGTGCTGGGAATTATGTTAAAATGTACATATGAAGAGGTGTGAATTTCTAGCCCCAAATTACATACAATGTTGTAAACCATTGTTACATCAATAAAAAAAAAAAAGACAGTAATAAATTCACTAAAAAGAAATAATACATACATAGAATGTAAATAATTTCCAGGTAAAAATGAAACTGTGTGGTAAACTGAAAAAGACTGAGAAGGCCTGCGTCTTCTCATAGACATGCTGATTTATTTAATATCAAACTTTAATCTGAAATTTTCCCTGAGATTTTGTTTTAATTTCCAACTGATACAACCAGCACAGTGTTCTTTGTCCACTTGGGTATGTATTTTTATAATCTCATCATGGAACAAATCAAAACCTCATATTCAAAGATCTGCAGAAATGCAGATTGTTACAAACTTTCATTTTTTTGTCAATCATCCCTTTGTATAGAATATGCTCAAACTACAAGGTAATTTGACTCATTCATTTATTCCCTCATCCTTAATGTAAGAACATTTGTAGACAAAAATTCAAGTTTCAGAATAACCCAAGGACAAGTTAGTTGATCACAAGTGTTTGTGACATTTTTTCTCGCTAGCTCCCAGGGTCCTCTTGTCTTCTTGCCCATCCCCCAAAAGAGAATTTTTGTTTGTTACCTCTTACCGACATTTATTTTGACAATTTTTTTCTGAGAGTCCGTCTTCATCTTCTCCCATGATGTCCACAGCTGAAAATATCAATGCAACAAGAATGGCAAAGCAGCACACCAGGGCAAAGACCACAATGCACTTCTGCTGGGACTGAAAGAAAGAGGAAAAAAAAAAGCCTAAGCAGATCATTTTCCTCTTAGGATACTCGGGTTTGACAGCTTTTCAAAATGTCATTGAAAATTGTTTGGGAAACAATTGCTTTCATCACTTCCAGAGAAGGACTGCTTTCTGGGTGAAAATGCCTAAGACCTTCATGATTATTCCTGAACACAACCTTCAAATACCCAGAGAATGATACACTCTATTAAATAATTCAAGAATTGGGGCCTCCCCGGTGGCGCAGCGGTTGAGCGCTGGGTTGCGAAGCTGCCCGCAGCCTCTGTGGCGCCGGTTCAATCCCCGGCTGCTCCCCGGCCACCAGAGGAGGGTCCCACATGGCACGAAGACCTCTCCTGCTGCCCGCTGCTCCCCTCAGCAGTGTACTTCGGTCCTTCTGCCTGCTCTGCTCCCCACTCTGGCTCTGGTGAATTCTCTCACCCTCCCGCACTTCTGACTCTACCCAGTGCATGTATAAACAAACGAACAAACAAACAAACAAATAAATAAATAAAACATGCCTCTATTTAAAATAAATAAATAAATAAATAAATAAATAAATAAATAAATAAATAATTCAAGAATTGTATCATGATTTCAAAACAAGTTTATTCCTTTTCTTTCTAATAAAAATCATTCTAAAAATATCACTGCAACACCATTGTTGCAAATTAAATTGGAACAATGAGGCTCAATTATTTTTCTCTGTCCTCTGTTACTACCACCAGCATTCAGGCTCACTCAAATTCATTCAACTTCTGTATCCTTTTGCCTTTTCCATCTTGTTTTGCTCTTAGAGGTGACCCTGGTCGTCAGTATGTGTTCTGCATTCTGATTAGAAAAATTAGATCTCTTAGATGCAAGCGTCATGGGTCATTTAATTGACATAGTTTATTTCAAAATACTGAACACAATCATAACCAACACTCATGCTCTTGATAAGGTTTTCATTTAGAAACAAAGTTGAAGGTCCATTTGGTCAAAAAACACTCATATCCTCATTTTTAGACCCATGTATTTTTGATTCAGGACATTCCTATCTCTAGGGGTTCATGGCCAAAACTGAAGAAGAGAGCCATGATAACTGGGTGGAAACCATGACCACAAGGACAAGTTATTATGCCTCATATCTTTTTGTTAGATAAAACTGGATGAGCAAAGAGAAAGAAATGTTTTAAGTCTTTTCAGCTTTAAGGGTCATTTACAAAAGTTTGATCTTTGCTTGAGCAGCCAGGAGTACTTTCTTGCTGATGTACACACACACACACACACACACACACACACAACTTCATTGGAGGGCCTCCCCTGGTGGTACAGCGTTTGAGTGCTGGGCTGCAAAGCTGCCCGTGGCCTCTGCAGCGCCTGTTCGATCCCTGGCCCCCAGAGAGGGTCCCACATGGCGCAACAGACCTCTCCTCCCGAGCCTGCTTCTCCCCTCAGCAGTGTATTTCGTCAGTCTGCCTGTTCTGTTCCCCGTTCTGCCTCTGGTGAATCCTCTCATCCTCCCACACATCTGGCCTGTACCCCGGTTCTTATATAAATAAATAAATCTTTAAAAAAAAAAAGATGTGGCATATATACACAATGGAATACTACTCAGCGATCAAAAAAATAAACTCATATCATTTGCAACAACGTGGTTGGAGCTGGAAGTTAAGAAAAATAAGTCAGAAGGATAAAGATAAATATCTGATGATACCACTTATGTGCAAAATGTAGAGAAACTGAACAAATGAACAGGGAAAAAGACAAAACATTTAAGCTGACCATAGGTTTGAGGCACACAGCAGGGGGGGAGGGAGGGAGGAGGTCAAAACAGGGGAGGGAAGAGCACTATGATGATGGATTATGGGTGCTCTGGTGATAGGAGGACTATACCTGAGGGGAGAAATCAAATGCTGTCCAAAAATTAATAAAGATGAAAGAAAGTAATATAAAAATTTAAACAGAGAAAAAAAAAGTTATATAAACAAATACAAAGTGAATTAATGAAACTAAAATCATAATGGTATACTTCTGAGGATGTGCACTAGGAGGTATTTTGCTCAAAACACAGTTATGAGCTTTCTGAAAATGATTTGTTTCCATATTTTGGTAATGGTAAATCTTGTGTCTCATCCTTTTATAGTCTCTATTAGAGCTAGAGGAAAATTTATGAACCGTATTTACCAACTAAATAAAACTGTAGTTTTGTCCATGCATTCATCTTGCCTTTTTATTTCCAATTTATTTCCAACTCCTCCCTAGTTTTCCTCTGAAGTAACACAGTGAATTAATTGAGGGCTGAGTCTTTGGAACCAGATTGCTTGGATTCTACCACTTATTGGTTGGAGCCCTTTGGGCAACAGCCTTTGTGAATCAGCTTCCTTCTATGTAAAGGAGGGGATAACTAAAAATAATTATAATTGCCTTATAAGGTTCTTATTGATAATTAAATTAAATAAAACACTCTATATAAGGTATTTCAAAGAGTACATGTGCAAGACATAGCAATGGATAAATGTTTGTTTTTGTTAGTAAGTAAATGTAGTATAAGTTCACCTCAAATATTTTGGGGAAACAAGTTAAAAGCTGATGAAACAAAACATATGACAAAACTATTAATATGTGTAAAAGATAGAGGTAGAGAAATGAGGGAAAAGAGACAGAGAAAAGTAGGAGATAAAGAGACAAAGAGAGAGAAATGAAATGTGAGATTAAAATTTTGTAGGTTATAATTTTCAGTAAACAATTATGTAAGTTTTCAGTAAACAATGTTCAACAATTATTTTAATCTGGCCTCAGATTAAGAACATTATGGCAGCATTTCTTAAACATAGGCATTCAATAAAATTTCCAGAAATGTTTGTTAAAACACATTGCTGTGGGCCTCCCTGGTGGCGCAAGGGGTTAAGCACAGCACTATGAAGCAATCTGTAAGCCTCTACAGCACGAGTTGGATCCCCCGGCCGGTCAGGGAGCAACCCACATGGCACAGCAGACCTCTCCTGACTCGCCCGCTGCTCCCCTCAGCAGTGTATTCCAGTCAATCTGCCTGTTCTGTTCCCTACACTGTCTCTGGTGACTCCTCTCACCCCCACATATCTGGCCTATACCCCAGCTCTTGTATGCATAAATAAATAAATCTTTAAAAAAAAATATTGCTGTGCTCTACTGTAAGAGTTTTTGGTTCAGTAGGACTGGGGCAGGGCTAAAAATTGTACATTTGTAACAACTTCCCAGGAGATGTTGATGCTGCACACACACGGAGTATGTTGCTAGAAGAATTTAAATGTAATAACCCTCACAAAATCTATTAACTTCTATCCATTCTATATTATCAAATTATATTAAAAGGAACAGTTAAGCCTGTTATTTTCATTTTAATTTGTCAAAGAAGAGAAGTTCAGTTTCTTATATTAATTTTTAAATGTTTCCTTCAAATAATCAAGGTGATACCGCTACTTTCTTAAAATTCTTTCCCAAAATTGTATTAAAATAATAGCATAAAAACCTAATAAATGAGATCAAACACCATGTTACCAAGATAATTATTCATTTTCAATCTTTAGAAGATCATTTCAGATTAAGAATCACTTTGAAACTCATAACTCTGTTTTTTATTGAAATGAATGTGGAGAAGTTCAGTTTTTATTAAAGAGAACCCCAAAACAAGATTATAGCCTAAACTTTAATAGTGAGCTTGACCTAATAAGATAAAAGATAAGATAAAAGAGATAAGAGATAAGATAAAATGTAATTTGAAATGTCATTACCTAGTATAAAACAATCTTCATTTTAAATTGTAATTTGTATTTAAACTGAAAGGAATTACTTGCTTGGTGAATGAAGAAGTCTGTTATATCATACTGTAACATGGTCCCCAGGGAAAGGGGAGGTTCCAGGTTCCCCCCCTCACCCAAGGAAGGGTGGAGTTGAGCAGGGAGGAGAAGCTGGAGAGGGGACTGGGAGAAGGAAGGAAGGAAGAAGAGAGAGAGCAAGGAGACTGGGAGGCAGCCCATGGAGCTGTGAAGAATTTGTGAAGAAATTGTGCTTTTTTCTCAGCCTTGGACCTGTACCAGGGACTTTGGGACATGGAAGAGACACTTGAAACAGAGAAGGGTGGGAGACCTGTGGAGAGGTAAACAATGGTAGTGTTTATCTTCATTTGATCCTTTCACCCCAGACTTGCCTTCCTATGGGTACCCACCAGAAGGTGCCTTAGATTGTGGCAGACTTTTGGACTTCAGCAGCCCTGATTTGGGCCAACCCTGTTTGGCTGGGCATTTACCCACAGGGGATGGGGGACTTTGGGTGCTTGATTTGGAAACTATATTCTTTGTCTTTATCTTCTTTTTATTGCGCAGTAATTGTATTGAAGTTCCTTTCCATTAAAGGTCTTGTGCATTAGACTATGTTTTGTCTTGATGTGATGGGCAGCGAACCTATTTAGAGCAGGCAGGTTTGAGGGTCCTGGGGTGCCCCTCACCGTGCCTAGTAACAATACCCCATCAAACACAATGTATCTCAGTACAGAAAAAGAAATATCTGATTTCTAAATGAGAAAAGTACATTAAAAATTAGAATACTATATATTTCCAACTTGGCCTTTTCTAATATTCATAAGCTCAATAAAGAATTTGTGCACATGTGCCTAGAAGTCAAACGCAAAAGTGCAAAACTTTCAGAATTTTCATTTACTTGACAAGTTTTTTTTTTTCTTTCAAACAGAATCATAGCTTTCCATGTGAAAAGATGTACAAACTTAAACTCAAAGATATAGGGTTATTGCCCAAGCCAATCACAGCAATTCAGGACAACCCAGGAAGTCAATTCATGTGTTTAAATCAGAAATCTATAGATCTGTTTTACAGTCAAACATTTTCCTTTTTGTTTTGTTTTCTTTTTTTTAAAAGATTTATTTATTTATTCATATAAAAACTGGGGTACAGGCCAGAGGTGCAGGTGGGTGGGTGAGAGGATTTACCAGAGACAGAGTGGAGAGCTGAACAGGC